AACAGATTACGTTGCTTAAGTTGGCCTGTGTCCGTTTTGATGTGCAATTGAACCAATAAAGGCAGATACATTGATCTACACCTGCCAACCTCAGCGTGAAGCCCTTTCTCCTCTCTGTTTCCATGAGCAAAATCCAATGATCCGAGATTAGTACCCTCCTGTGCCAATCTCCTGATTTGTGTCAATTTAGGAACCATCAATTTCCTCTTTCTCTCTCTCTTTTTTTGTGGTAACCGTAGAGATGGAACGTTATGCAACAGGATGATGACTGATTCATCTCCTCCGCCCCCTCTCTGTCAATTTTTGTCTCTGCTCTGCTGCTGGGGGAGGGAGGGAACACCTTCCCCTCCTTTCTGGGATCTAGGGTCTTCTAGCACCTCCGAGTGGCCTGGGAAAGTGCGAAGGGACTTCAGATCCCACCCATAGAGACAGATCCATCCCACCATGGACCAAAATGAGGCAGCCATCTCTTGATGTAATTGATGCTAGGTGTGATGAAGAGGCAGCAAATAGTTAATTATTTAATTGATAGTTACTATATTTCTACTGCCAGGGAGGTGGGCAGAAGAATCTTTTCTGAGATTTTCTGCCTTCTGTACTAAAATAACTTGACTAACTTTCAGAACTTTTCAATGGGGCGCCATTTGTTCCTCTGCAGCAAAATGACTTGAGATGGCCCCATCTAGAGTAGCTCTGTTTTCTTTTCTTTCCTTGTGAACCCCACAAAAGTGCTTTCTGTCGGTCTTACCCACGGAGGAGCAAGATGCCCGGAAAGGATCCCCACCTGTTTGGGAGCAGAATTCCGTGCTCAGGAGCAAAACCACCCAGAGCTTATACCTGGGACCACTCCTCAATCCAGGCATGGTCGAGGGGGTATGTTATCTCTCCTCAGGGTTGACATGATTTCCTCTGATCATGCACAGATTTCTCTCTTTTCTGACCACACTTTCACCTACGACAGCTCTTGCATTCAATGGTTCTTGCTTCCCAACGTCTCCACACTTCTTTATGCCTCTGGAGTTGGCCACACTTTCACCTACGACAGCTCTTGTATTCAATGGTTCTTGCTTCCCAACGTCTTCACACTTCTTTATGCCTCTGGAGTTGGCCGTGGCTGACGTGGGCTGGTTGAGGCAGCATCAAGTGGTACCTCTTTAGCTCTACACAGGAGTCTCCAGTCTTCACCCACAGCCTACTACATCCAGGCCTGGCTTCTTTACCACTTTGAGGGTGAGTGAAAGGGGAAGAGGGTGGCACTCGAGTGGAACAAGTGCAAAAGCAAGAGTGCAATCCACTCTGGAACCTTTATTCTTTTGATGAGGCGGCAAGAGTTTGGCCGTCTGCACTTTCAGAACAGGTACGCAGGTATTTATGGATTCTTACATTCAGTATATTATAGGGACGTGGTGGCGCTGTGGGCTAAACCGCAGAAGCCTTTGCTGCAGGGTCAGAAGACCAGCAGTCGTAAGATCGAATCCACGCGATGGAGTGAGCTCCCATCGCTTGTCCCAGCTCCCGCCAACCTAGCGGTTCAAAAGCATGCAAATGCGAGTAGATAAATAGGGACCATCTCGGTGGGAAGGTAACAGCGTTCCATGTCTTAAGTCGCACTGGCCATGTGACCACGGAAGATTGTCTTCGGACAAAACACTGGCTCTATGGCTTGGAAACGGGGATGAGCACCGCCCCCCAGAGTCGAACACAACTGGACAAAAATTGTCAAGGGGAACCTTTACCTTTACCTTTACATTCAGTATATATATACAGAGTAGGTTAATTGTTCTCCTCCTGCCCTGCCTGCCCTTGTAATCCTTCCAGCAACCCAGTGAGGTGCTTTAGACCTGGAAGAGAACAGTTGTGATTAATTACATCTTGGGTGTCTTTTTCTTTTTTAAAAAAAATAAGAGAGGGAAGGCGGAAAAGGCTCAAAGACAGTTAAAGTACATAAAAATCCAGTAATAATAATAATCATATGCTATCAAGTCAATTCTAACTTACGGTGACCCTTTTCCGGGTTTCCCAGGTAGAGGATACTCAGAAGTAGTTTACTATTCCCTTCTTCTGGAGCGCCTTGGCACTTTGCAGCTTGCCCAAGGCCACACAGGCTGGCTGTACTCACGGGAGGCCTAGTGGGGAATTGAACTCCCAAACCACCGAGCTGTCTAGCCAACTACAAACACTAAGAACAAATTAGGAGGTAATCAATTGTCGCATTTTTAAAAACAGCCAATTATGTCTCATTAAATGTGCAAGAACAAAGAACTCTCTTAACTCTGAAAATATAATCAGGCGGAGGCCGTGGGGACTCTACTAGTAAGAAGCCTTTGTTCCATAAGCAGGGGGCCAAACCTCCTGAGGAATCCAGAGAGATGGCACAGAGATGGGGCCAAGGTTGCTCACTGTGTCAACAGAATGTTGGCCTTTGGTCGGATCCAGCGGGGATGTTCTTATTTTCTCAGATAATGATTGGCCTAAGGTCAAAAACAAATGCTTCACTTGTGGAAATAAGTGTACCTGATTTTTAAAAAAAATCAAAGCAATTTACAAAATGATCTTAACAAAAATCCTAATGTGAAACCGATACCATAAGACTAACCCTGTGTTTGCAAAAACAGTTTTTTTAAAAAGGCAAAAAATTAGGAACTGAATCAGATCTGGGGAAGAGGCAAAGAATCAGAGTTAGTTTGTGTACTGCTGTCATATTTACTTAGAAGTGAATGATAGCTTAACAGTGCTTCAGATTGCAGCATCAAATGACTTTTTACCCTGGGGTCTTACTCTTCGGCCATAAATTAATCATTGGATGCTGGAGTGGGAATGTAGTTTTCCTGTCGCCCCTTCAGTTTCTCTAGTTTCGTAAGACTGAGATGTCATGAAGGAAATAAATGGCTGAGGCCTTCAGAATGGAGTGCGTGTAGCTTCCTGGGAGTCGATGGAATCATTTTCCTTTGCAGCTCCAGCTCATGCGATACATCATTTCCCAACATTGTCGCCCTCCAGTCTTCCATTCTCTGTGCTCTGTTGTCCACTCTGTCCTATCTGACCCCCTCCCCTCAACCTGACCTTCCATTTGAACCATCAGGAAGCATTGGCGCTTAGGGGGAAGGGAGGAAATAACAGAATGGTCGGATGTCAGTATATTTAGTAGTCAGGAATAGGCTCTCAGTTCCTGGAGCCAGTTCATTCTTATCTGGCTACTGCACCTTTGAGGGGTGGGCAGTGCTCTATGAGTTCAGGTCAGGCCTGTCTTCTCCCTCTGGCCCAGATCAGCCCATCCCTGTTTCCTTACAGCTGCATGAAATGCTTGTTTTAAAAACAGATGAACAAAAATCATCTCTAATGGTTGTTGTTGGTTTTTTGGGCTCTTTAGCCGTGTTCTGAAGGTTGTTCTTCCTAACATTTCGCCAGTCTCTATGGCTGGCAGCTTCGGAGGACAACCTTCTGAAGATACCTGCCACAGAGACTGGCGAAACATCAGGAAGAACAACCTTCAGAACACGGCCAAAGAGCCTGAAAAACCCACAACAACCATTAGATCCCAGCCGTGAAAGCCTTCGCGAAAAATGGTTTCTGTCTATGGTTTTGCCATCCTCTGTGGGCTAGATCCACACTGAGGTTTCAGTCATTCAAGTTCTTGCTTCTCCATCTTTTCACACCTCACATGTACCTTCTAATTTTTCTGTTTCTGAGGCCTGATCCTTAGTAGGCAATAATTGCGCGAGGTCAAGAAAGAAGATGTAATTCAGATCGAAGATTAAACTTTCCTCTTCCTTTCTTCTTCAGTTGCCTTAGTTTTCTCTTTATGTGTCTTCAGCAGTCCAGTTGCATCCCTTGACTCGGCTTGGATGAGATGCTTCCATTCATATTTTTATAAGAATTATCTGGAACCTGCAGATTTTTTTTTCATTTTAGGGGTACAGTGGACCCTCGACTTACAGACGACTCAACTTACAGCCTAATTTTTCTATTTCTGAGGCCTGATCCTTAGTAGGCAATTATTGCGCAAGGTCAAGAAAGAAGATGTAAATCAGATCGAAGATTAAACTTTCCTCTTCCTTTCTTCTTCAGTTGCCTTAGTTTTCTCTTTATGTGTCTTCAGCAGTCCAGTTGCATCCCTTGACTCGGCTTGGATGAGATGCTTCCATTCATATTTTTATAAGAATTATCTGGAACCTGCAGATTTTTTTTTTCATTTTAGGGGTACAAAGAACTTGGGATTTAAAAAAAAAATTCAGTGTGGAAGGAACAGAAAGTGACAAATTACATTATCCAGGCCTAGAGGGTCCACTGTACAAAGAACTTGGGATTTTTTAAAAAAATTCTCTGTGGAAGAAGCAGAAAGTGACAAATTACATTATCCAGGCCCAAAACTTTGGATGCTTAAACACCTGTTTTGAACTCCTGTTGCCTGTTGTGTCTTCAGCTACAATAGAGGGGATGAATTAGAGTTGCCAGCTCCTTTTCCTGAAAGGCTCCTCAACTTTAACCCTATATGGGAGACAAACAAAATCTGACCCTCTTTGTGTTGGGAAGATCGACTGATTGAATTTGTCCAAGGCAAATGGGGTAGTAGACTTTTGTTCTAATTCCTTTTTGGAGAATTTGTTAATTTTCCCACATTTCTTCACATTTGGGATTTTAAAAAAGTGAGGTTTATTTTTTTTTTCAGATTGTAGGAGAAAGCAAAATGGTCAGCTTTTCCTAGCCCTGCCCCTGATCTCTGTGTTTTTTTTCCTCCTTTCCCTTCTCCCAGGATGGGTCCCGCCAGCGTCCCTTGCAGCACAAGAAGAAGACAGTCTCCTTCAGCACCATGCCCAGCAACCGCAAACTCAGCAGCACAGCTGCCTGCATTTCCTTCATGCTGGAGGGCTGTGAGATGAAGAAGGTGCGCTCTAACTCCCGCATGTACAGTCGGTTCTTTGTCTTGGACCCAGACTTGCGCTTCATGCACTGGGAACCTTCCAAGAAGGACTCGGAAAAAGCCAAGATTGAGATCAAGTCGATCAAGGAAGTGCGCGTAGGGAAGAAGACCCCCGTGCTGCGCTCCAACGGCCTCTCAGACCAGTTCCCAGATGAATGCGCCTTCTCCATCATCTATGGAGACAACTACGAGTCCTTGGATCTGGTGGCAAGCTCTCCGGATGTGGTGAATGCTTGGGTGATGGGGTTGAGGTATCTGGCCTCCTATGGCAAGCACACTCTGGAAGGGGCCCCTGAGACCGGGCACCCCAATCCCCGCACCTCCTGGATTTCATCTGTCTTTGACATTGCAGACCTGGAGAAAGAAGGCCAGATCCCTGTTTCTCGGGCTGTCCAGCTTATTCGGGCCCTTAACCCAGGTATGAAGGCGTCAACGATTGAACTGAAGTTCAAAGAGCTTCAGAAAGCAGCCAGTGAGCGGGTTGGGGAAGAAGTGAGCTGTGAGGTCTTTGTGGAGGCTTACTGTGAGCTTTGCACCAGGCCGGAGGTGTTCTTCCTTTTGGTCCAGTTTTCCAGCAATAAAGAATTCATGACCGTGAAGGACCTGATGAGCTTTCTAGAGGCAGAGCAAGGCATGGAAGGGGTGGTGGAACAGATGTGCCTGGAGATTGTGAGCAAATATGAGCCATCTAAGGAGGGCCGGGAAAAGGGGTACTTAGCTATTGACGGCTTCACTCGCTACCTCCTCTCAGCGGACTGCGACATATTTGACCCCCAACACCGCAAGGTCTGTCAGGACATGAGCCAGCCACTGTCCCACTACTATATTAGTTCTGCGCATGGAGCATGTCTGGCAGAGGACAGTTGCTTCTGGGGGGGCTCCACCTCAGACATTGGCGGCTATGTGGCAGCACTCAAGGCTGGCTGCCGTAGCCTGGAACTGGTGGTGTGTGATGGCTCCTCTGGAGAACCAGTGGTTGGGGCCGGGAGCCGTTTGGCCTTCTCCAGAGTGGTGAGTGCTGTGGCAGAACACGCCTTTGAGGCCTCCGAGTTTCCCCTCATCCTGTGCCTGTCCGTGCGCTGCTGTGTCGCCCAGCAGAGGCTTGTGGCTGAATATCTGAGGAAGACCTTTGGAGACAAGCTTTACTTGACATCCCCAAACCCAAACAAGGTCTATCTCCCTTCTCCTGAAAGGCTCAAGGGCTGCGTCCTGATTAAAGGCCGGAAGCTGCTCCCGAGCTGCCAGTCAAGTGAGGGAGAGGTGTCTGATGAAGAGGAGGCCTTGGAGCTTGGCTTGCCCCACAGCGAGGAGCACCGGGAGCAGCCCCGTTGCCGGCGAGTCTTGTGTCGTGAACTCTCCGACCTGGTGAGCTTATGCCAGACAGTCTCCTTCCAGGGTTTTGAGGCGTCTCGGCGAAGCCAGTGCTACTGGGAGGTTTGCTCCTTCAGTGAGGTAGAGGCTGGACGCTATGCCAACGAGGAGCCAGAGGACTTCGTGGCCTATAACAAGCGCTTCCTGTCCCGGGTTTACCCTAGTCCCATGCGCATCGATGCCAGCAACATGAACCCCCAGGACTTCTGGAAGTGTGGCTGTCAGATGGTGGCCATGAACTATCAGACACCAGGCCTCATGATGGACCTGAATGCTGGTTGGTTCCGCCAGAATGGAGGCTGTGGCTATGTGCTCCGGCCAGCCATCATGCGCGAGGAGGTGTCCTATTTCAGTGCAAACACCAGGGATACCTTACCTGGCATCTCAGCCCAACTGTTGCACCTCAAGATCATCAGTGGTCAAAATCTGCCCAAACCCAAAGGCTCTGGAGCCAAAGGTGATGTGGTGGAGCCGTATGTCTGTGCTGAGATGCATGGTATTCCTGCAGACTGTGCTGAAAAGCGCACCAAGACGGTGCTGCAGAGTGGGGACAACCCAGTTTTTGAGGAGACCCTGGAGTTCCAGGTGAACCTCCCTGAGCTGGCGATCCTACGCTTCATGGTGCTTGACGATGACTACATCGGTGATGAGTTCATTGCACAGTACACCATCCCCTTTGAGTGCCTCCAGATGGGTTACCGCCACGTGCCCCTCCAGTCCCTGGCAGGCGAGCCCCTCCCCAATGCCACCTTGTTTGTGCATGTGGCCATCACCAACCGGAGGGGGGGAGGCAAAGCACAACGGCGGGGGCTTGCGGGGCGGAAGGGACGGCGTATGCGGGAGTACACATCCACTAAAGCCACAGGAATCAAGGCCATTGATGAAGTGTTTCGCACCGCCACGCAGCCACTGCGCGAGGCCACAGACCTGCGGGAGAACATGCAGGTACCAAGGTAGTGGGAGATGGGGTCTCCTGAATTTGCTTCGCAAGGGTTTGGAATTTGGGAGGAATTTGGTGGGTCTTGTACACCTCCGAGTGCCCAGTTATGCTACAGAAATAAATTACTCCAGGAAAATATTGTGAAGCTGGGCGCTGCCTCATGCTCTTCATTCTGCTCCCACCCCGCTGGAGGTAGTCATATGAGGAGAACCTTAACCCTTCTACAGAAGGAATTTCCAAATCAGCCTTCCCCAACCTGGTCACCTCCTGATGTATTGGACTACATCTCCCATTATGCTCTGTGAGCATTGCCAGGCTCCTAGCTAGAATTAATGGAGGCTCCAGTCCGACATGTATGGAGAAGAACAGCTCAGAGGAGATTATTCCAGAGGGACATGAGGGATGTGTAGGTTAGTGTAGTAATTGTGACCTGGCATAGGGAATGAAGCCTAGAATTTTAGTGCTTGGATTAAGCAAGGAAAAAGTATGGGGAGAATAGTCACAGGGAACTGCTTTAGTGCAAGTTAAAATAATTTGCTTTCTGAGACAGTATTGTGCGCTCTGACTGGCAGCAACCTCTGATAGTTTCGGGCAGAAAAATGTCCTTATCTCCTAATTTTTAAAATTGTTGACACAGAAGTTGAATCAGAGTTTAGAAATAACGCGTTACTATTACGGTGTTAATGTTTCGATCGCCCCTTTTGTGTTAACAGGAAAAGAAAAATTGGTGCCTTTAATCCTCTGAGAATAATGTTTTGAAACTACCGTGTTTCCCTGAAAATAAGACCTAACCTGAAAATAAATCCTAGTATGATTTTTCAGGCTGCTCATAACATACAGTGGTGCCTCGCTTAACGATGATAATATGTTCCAGGAAAATTGTCGTTAAGCAAAAACATCGTAAAGCAAAAAAACCCCATTGAAACGCATTGAAACCCGTTCAATGCATTCCAATGGGGTAAAAATTCACCGTCCAGCGAAGATCCTCCATACGGTGGCCATTTTCGCTGTCTGTATAGCGACGAATCTGTCCCTAAATACAGTGGGGAGCCATTTTAATCACCCCGTGGCCATTTTGAAACTGCCGACCAGCTATTTAAAAAACATCGTTTTACGAAGAACCGGTTCCCAAAGCAGGGAACTGATCATCGCAAAGCGAAATTCGCCCATTTAGACCATGGTTTTGCGATTGCAATTGCGATCACAAAAAGATCGTTGTAAAGTGGATTCGTCGTAATGCGGGGCAGTCATTAAGCGAGGCACCACTGTAAGCCCTACCCCAAAAATAAGCCCTAGTTAAGTGAAAGCCTGCCCTCCACCACTGCACAGCAACCAGAAGATGACATTACTGTATTTGAATAAACGTAGATTGTTGTACATGGGGGAAAAATAACATCCCCTGAAAATAAACCCAACTGCTTTTTTTGGAGCAAAAATTAATATAAGACCCTGTCTTATTTTTGGGGAAACACGGTAACACTAAAATGTTACTTTCAACTCATTATTTTTAGAAGATCATATGCATCTGTTTGGTTTCCCCCAGCCCCCTTCTTAACACAAAAGTAATTATTTCACCATGAATACATGTTTCCAATTTCTAGATTGAACCCAGGAACTTCTGAATGCACAGCAGATGCTCTGCCAGAGAGATTTAACAGGGGTCCTGAAACGGACATAAATTGTTAAAGAAGGTTAAGGCATTTAAGAGTGTCTGTGTCTTTAGCACTGCAGCTCACTTTTCGCTCTGTTCACATGGTAACCCTGCACCGACTGGTTTAGAAGAGGCAACAGGCAGGGGTGCACCAGTTTGTTCACCACGATGTGTATGTGGCCCTGGAACTGTGGTTATTTATTGTGGCATGAAGGAGTGATCAGAAGTACTGGGAGCTGAGAACTCCACAGTGGTTTATCATGTTGGTGACTTCCGCATCTTTTCTCTCCCAGAATGCTCTGGTTTCCTTCAAGGAATTGTGTGGCCTGACACCAGCAGCCAACATCAAGCAGTGCATCTTAAAGCTGGCCACGTGGCTACAGCCCAGTGAGAAGGAGAGCCCTCCAGCTGTCACTCTGAACCTGGGTGAAGAGTACCCCTCCATGGAGGCGCAGGGCCCCGTCCCGGAACTCCTGAGGAAAGTGCTCGCAGCCTATGACACTGTGAGTGCATCCAGTATGGCAGGAATCCCTGGGCCTTGTCCAGCGAGTGTTTGATACGTTGGTCCTCTTATGGATCAGCTAATTCTGCTTGGGCTCTGGCAAAATTCTGGGGCACACCTCTGTGGTACAAATCCTGCCCAACGCAGTGGTGGGATTGCAAATCACCATTCAGGCAACAAACCATGTCTGGAAAATAGGATGGTATTGTGAAAGTACAACGATAAAATGGCTCTCTCTTAAGCTGCATCACAGTCCTGTCACTTAATGGGTATGGTTTGCATGGGAAGCTTTTGTTCACATTATAACCCCGACTGGAGAAAGCATCATTCTCTGAAAACTCCTTTCTTGTCTGTCCTCAGATGGTCTGAGCATCAGGTTCAGGGTCAGCATCGTTATCCTCAGGTAGCTCTTGGAGGGGTCAGCACCCCTACAAAACCCAATATTGAGCAATTTCTGCCTCAGTTATCCAGACTGAATTGGCTGGCTGGCTGTAGAAGCAACTGTTTTAATTGCCATCAATATTCTGATGTGTTGTTGCTCTGGGGCATTGTGGGAAATTAAAATGGCTCTACCTAAACCTGGTGACCGGTTGTGGGTTAGAGCACATCTAGCACTGTTGCCACCTTCAAGTAATTTATGGGCGAGGGAGATTTTGTCTAAAGTTCATAGTCTTATTTAGAGCGTGGAAACAGCATGTTAGTTTGATGTGTTAACATTGAAATCATGGCTTTCCTTTTCAAAAAGGAGGACCAGTCAATCCAGACAGCACCATTTTGAAAGTAACAGTTTTAGTTCTAAGCTTGTTATATGCAAAATATTGTTTATTTAAGACTGGATGCATTCCTCCTGTTTAATAGGAGAAAAATAATTAAAATATCAACATGTTAAATGGACACTCTTTGGGTGCCAATGTACTTCCAATTTCTGCTCCTGAAGTGGCCAAACCATACGTTAGACCAGTGGTTCCCAACCTTGAGTCCCCAGATGTTCTTGGACTACAATTCCCAGAAATCTTGGCCAACAGCTAGTGGTGAAGGCTTCTGGGAGTTTTAGTCCAAGAACACCTGGAGACCCAAAGCTGGGGACCACCGCATTAGACTGGACTGGACTGCTGAATCAAGGAGGAAGGGACTGTGTGACTGAATGTTTCTCCATTCCAAAACAACTGGCATTGTCTCCAAACAAAGACAACAAATATGCTAAACTGACTAGTTTTGTGTGCAAACAGATGGGGTGTGTGTGTGTGTGTGTGAGCATTCAGTTACAGTGGACCCTTGACTTACAGACGGCTTGACTTACAGACTTTTTGAGTTACAGACTTCTCTGGCCGCAAAATTTAGGTTTGACTTGCAGACTGAGATTTGACTTACAGACCAGAAAAAAACCAAAATGGAACAAAAACGGCCTGTTACGGGATTAATCGGTTTTCAATGCACTGTAAGTCAATGGAGACTTGACTTACAGACTTTTTGACTTGAGAACCGCCTTCCAATACGGATTAAGTTCTCAAGTCAAGACCCCACTGTA